ACTAAGCTAACCCATCCTAAAACCAAGCCCAGGGTTTTTCCTTTCCCATCAGCTGGTCATATAGACATCCTGTACAGCCTTAGGTTTGAGTTGAGAGTGGGGGCTGGTGCAACCATGGTGGGCGACTTAGGGGTTGGGGCTACCTGACCATGTAATTTCCTCATACCCTCTGAACCTGCTTAGGCTCAGTCCTAGATGTATAATTTCCATCTCAGGACGGCCTACTCCTGCTGGGCCCATCTGATTTTATAACTTGATGGGTCTATCATAACTCAGGTAATCATGGATAGTATTGGACACATAGTCACTTAGTGTCTCACGGTCAAGCATTCCATACCTATCAGGGCCCAGGAGCACATCAGAAACATTTTTTCAAAAGATCTATAATTTTCTGCTTCAGGTGGCATAACTTTGTTCCAGACCCCAGGGTGCACTGTGATTCTCCCACTGGAACTGCCATAAACTCCCCGCTGCCTATTATTCCCCCACAGACTACTCCAACACCATGCGGTCTGCTGAATTATATGGACCACACATCAGGGATGCTTGCACACAGCCTGAGCCTGCTACAGAGCCCTTTCTTGTTCCAGGCCTCACTCACAGCTGGCAGTCTTTTGTGTCATCTGCCATATAGGCCTGAACAGTATTTTTAAGAGTGGAATATGTTGCCCGTAGACACCAAAGATTCTCACCAATCATTGTATTTCCTTCTTTATCGTAGGGGATGCACCTTGCAGTAATTTATTTCTTAATTCAGAGAGGACATCTCAGCCCAACCCCGACCTCTAGATTCCTAAAAATTTTACCAATTTGGAAGCCCCCTGGTAGCCCCCTAAATCTTCTTAAGATCTATTTTCCACATCTGGAATGAGTGTGTCTTACAATGCCTCCAAAGCAAGTATTTGCGACATCTTGTTCATCCTGCATGATCAACAAGATGTCATTTAGGTAATGGATTATTCTTAGGTCCAGTGGGATGTCTGTACATTTAGAGTTAACAAAGCCCTAAGGCAAAACCATGCATTCATATTGTTGTTTGTTCCATGTGAATGTGAACTATTTTTGTTCACCTTTCTTTATTGGTAAACAATGCATTCTTTAAATCAATGCTTGCATTTCAGGTACATGACAGCAAACTAATCTGCTTTACAGAAGGTATCACATCTGGCACAGCAGTTGCAATCAGGGCTGCTATGTGGTTGATCTAGCTGGAGACTACATTTATTTTCCAGTATATATCTGGTTTCTTCAAGGGCCAGATTGGTGAATTAAATGAAGATGTGAGTAGGACCATCACCCCTTGAGATATTTAAAGGTGGCACTAATCTCCTTTTGGCATCCCTAGGTGATGGAAACTGTTAACTCACTTAGTTGCTAACTGAAAAGTTGCTAACTGAAAGGTTTGAATCCAACCATTCGCTCCTCAGAAGAAAGGCCTGGGAATTTGCTTCCAAAAGATCAGTCATTGAAAACCTCACGGAACACAGGTCTACTCTGACACACATGGGGTCAACATGGGTCAGAATTGACTCAAAGGCAACTTTTTTTAAAGTTTTAAATCCTGCCCATCCCCTGACCTATGTCAGGAGATGATATTATCTTGTATTTACTTTCTTTGCCTGGTGAAGGGGCATTTTCAAAGGCTTCCACTTGGATTTTCTACTCTGATTTTTCTTACCATACAGGTCAAGCACCAGACAAGGGGATTTAATTCTTCTGCCATGTATGTCAATCTCAGTTACCATATTTTTACCCAAATAATGCATGCTTTCTGCGTTTGTTTGCGTGTTAAGCCCCCTCCCTGCCGCAAGGCATCCTCACAAGCGCGCTTATGCTAACTTTTCTTCACAACAACATGTAAAAAAAAACTGGCATAGCGGCTCCTATCAAAGTATCCAGGAGAGGGCATGGCCAGCAAACAAACACAGAAGGCCTGTGTTATTTGTGTAAACAAATGGCGTACATAGGGGGACCAAAAAAATTAACACCGATGGGTCCTCAGATGTAGAATAAGCTGGATTTGGCCAAAATTTAATTTATTACTTGGTCCCTATATTCTCCTTCTCTAACAGTGGTTCAGAATGATGTTTTGTTTTTTTTTTTTTTTTAAATTTTCTATGCATATCAATGCCAGCTGAGATCCTGTAAGCAATAGTACTCAAAATATCTGGGTATTCGCTTTTCCCAGTGTGCAGTCATATTGCTATAGTTCCACTTGGGAAAGGACTGGGGGAATCATCACAGGATATATTTGTCATTGTGTTGCATGGCCCTTTCTCTAAGGGACCCAGTCAACAATTTAACAAATAGGTCTGGATCTGAAAACTGACTAGTTCTGGGTGTAGGGAAATCATGACTTTTGTTTGAGATAACCAAGCTTAGCCTCCTGCTCTTCCTTTTCAGCTGTCTTCTGATTGTAGATGCTAAGCAGCACCTTTTTTGGCTGCCTGTGTATTTTGCCCATTGGGATGCCATGGTCTATTAAATGTCTCCACAACTCTCTTCAGGTCAAGTCCCCATGACTTATGCTTCAGCCTTGCTGGTCATAGCAATAATTATGACCTGTGGTTTCTAGCAGTTAAGCACCACCTCTTGTCTTCTATTTCTTCAAGACTCCATTATCCACACTGCTAGTAATTAGCCATGTTCCATGACTATGTTGCTTACTGTCTGTCCTATTCTTCAGAGGGACGTCACTATGAACTTCTTAGTGATGCTGGCACACATCACACTTCTCATTTCTGGTTCTTAGTAAATAGTATGTCCTCTGTGCCATCCCATGTAAGATAATTTTTGGGTGAGACTTCTGTTGTCACGTGATAGAACCATTCCAGCATGCCCATGTCTGTGAGCCTTTAACTCCATTCCTCCAATATCTGCCATGGAAATTTAGGTATTTCAACTTTGTTCAGCATTAGTTATCATTATTCTGCAGCCTTCTAGAAGCCATTATAGCCATGAGTTTGCATAATTGCTGGAGGCTCTTTCCAGAGTATTAAATGCTGTACCCCAGAATATGCTACCAAGTAAACGAATTTTTTCTCATAAATATTATGTCCCATCACCCTTGATTAAGAATCTTCAAAATTCAGTCCCATGGGAATTTTCTTTAACTACTACCTGTATATAATTCTTGAATTTCCTTCGGGGTATAGTCTTTTTCCCTCCTTATTATGTCCAATGTATCTCAGAGCCAGATCTGCAAGTGTTTCTAGGACGGGAGCAATGAGGCTGGTAGTCCTACCTAGACCAAGAGCTCCTGCTCCCTACCCCACTCCTTTCCTTATGCCCTGCAAGTTCCACTTCTGGTCACCCTCTCTTTCCCAAAACCACATCTTTGTTATCTCATTAGGATCACAGATACTTAACTGTCTTGAGGTCAATATCTTTTCTGAATTCTCAACCACTTGTTAGTCTTGTCCTCAGCTAGGCTATTGGCTTATGGAAGACATGAGTCATTTTGTGCTCCCTATGGAATCTGTCGTAGTAATGGGTAATGGTACTCGCTTCAGGAATACTGGTGAGAAGACTCAAGATCAAGATTCACTGGGGCCAATATCTAAAATCCTTTAGGCTGTTATGTCATAAAAATGCTGTTAGATGGCACACAAACCCCGCAATGAACAAAAGACAGTGGTCTGATCTAATAAATATTGGGAAAGTTGCAGAGTGGTAACCACCAGTTGCTATCTACTTCACTCTGACTCATGGCAACCCCATGTGTGTCAGAGTAGAACTGTGCTCCATTCAGTTTTCAATGGCTTATTTTTCAGAAATAGTTTACCAGAACTTTCTTTTGTGGCACCTCTGGGTGGACTTGAACCTCCAACCTTTAGGTTAGGAACTGAACAGTCTTTGCACCACCCAGGGACTCCCAATAGAGTGATATTGTCCCATTATAAACAAGAGAGCCCTTAGGCAAGGATGAATTTCTATGACGTGATCTGTGACACAGAAGAATGAGCTTCCAGTGTGCTGAGTGATGGAGAACACCCACTCTGTGCTCTCTAACTGAAAGCCCTGTCTTCTGTCTTGGCTGTGTCCCCAGAGCCCATCCCTAACCTCTGAGCAGGGGTCAGAATCAGGAGGGCACCTTGTGGACATGGGGAACTCAGCTTTGCTCCTCTTCTCCTGCTGTTCTGACTGTCTGGTGAGAAGAAGACTCAGGCTTCATGTCAGCTTGTGTGCATTAAGCACAAATATTTCCTTGAAGATAAAGTTGTTGGCCTATTTTTCTTTCTCATCAGAATTACATCAAACTGAATGATCTCCTTGCTTGATATTAAGGTTTGGACATGTTCATATTTGTTTCCATACTCTAGTTGCCATGGGTGACTTGTGCAGATCCAGTCTCCAGCATCCTTCCACGTGAATCAAGGAGAGAGGGTCACTGTCACCTGCAGGGACAGAGTATTAAAAGCACCTGGACTGGACAAGCATGAGCCAGGACAGGCCCCCAAGCTCCTGCTGACTCACACTGCTACCTTGGACATGATGTCTGCCCGGTTCAGGTGCTGTAGGTCTGGGACAGACTTCACTTTGACCTTTGCCACTGGATCTGTCTTCAAGAGCAAGCATAAGCTCTTCAGTGTCACCACAGGGAACACAAACTCTGCTCCCAGCTGCCTCTCCTGCCTGTGGAATTGCTGTGAGTCTCTTGCAGAAGCAGGCTTAGATGGAGCAATAGTAAGAAAAACATGTAATGAGCACTGAAGAGAGCAAGAGAACTCTCTACCCACTGGACAGGAGACTGATTCTGTCCTGTGGTTCCCAGGGAGAAACATGTTCTCTGCAGGCCAGTTTCTGCTGCCTGGGTCTGAGCTGGGACACCTGGAGGAACTGCTCCTGTGTTGTGTTATTGAAATGTATCTGCCTTGCTGCTCAACAGAAACCGTGCACCCTCTCCTGCTGATTTGCATGTTCCCTAGAGCACAACCCTGCTACTCCGAAGACTTATTAACAGCCTGTCACACCTTGTGCAGGAGTCAGTCCTGGTCAGCATGGACATGAGGGCCCTCGTTCAGTTCCTTGATCTTCTGCTGCTCTTGCTTCCAGGTAAGAAAGGAGAACATAGGTGTTTACTCACAATGGCAAAACTGCCTCTCTTCATTGCTTACTGCTGTATCCCCTGTCTCTGTGAGCTGAGACTTGTGAACATTGGCTCAGCCCAGTGAGGTCAGTGCAGCCTGCATCTTCAGGGACATTGCTCTTATAACATGATTAATAATGTGGATGTTTGTTTTTATATTTCCATTTTCAGAAGCCAGTTGTGACATGCAGACTACCCAGTCTCCACCCTCCCTGTTTGTATCTCTAGGACAGACAGTCACCATCACTTGCCAGGCAAGTCAGAGCATTAACAGGTTGTTAGCCTGGTATCAGCAGAAACCAGGGAAGAGTCCTAAACTCTTGCTCTATGGTGCATCCACTTTGCAATCTGGAGTCCCATCATGGTTCAGAGGCAGTGGGTCTGGAACAGACTATGCTGTCACCATCAGCAGCCTGGAGGCTGAGGATGTTGGAATTTATTACTGTCAAAAATCTTACAGTAATCCTTCTACTGTGTTATAAGCTGGAGCATAAACTACCCCTGGGAGCAGATGTGTGAGGCCGGGCTGCCCCAGCTGCTCCTCCTTGTGCCTCCATCTGCTGAATGTGTTTCTGAACTGCAGTCAGTCTTTGAAGGTCACCGGCAGGTTTTGGTAGAAGAGGCCTGGGTGGCTCCTCTACACCCTAACTCATTCCTCCTCCTCAGCCCCAGTAGCACAGACATGACAATGCCTCTTCTGGTTTAATGAAGGACAGAGATTATTACACCTGATGAGTTTAGGTGGCAGCATCAGTCAGAGTTCATACAGCAAAACAGAAATCACTTAGGTATTCCAAATAGGGATTGTTTTAATATGGGGAGTCTGAATCTAAACTACAACCTTTCGAAGGCCTGTGGGTATGACAGGGAAGCCCACGCTAGAAACAGCTAATTCTTTGGTACTCCCCCAGAACTCAAGTGCATCTGCCACTGAGTTTATTGGCTGCCTAACCCTGCGGTCCTCAGACCTGTCTAGGAGCCCAGACAGGTGTTGTTTGGTGCTGAAGCTCTCAATTCCCTACAAACACATTACCTGGTGGTTCTCTGTCTCATCTCTGTCTGTAGGTCTGTCTGCAGTTGCCAGTGGAGAATGTTGATCCTGCTCTTCTTTATCAATCTCAGGGATGGCTCCTCACTGGGAAAATCTACAGGAAATCATATAGAAGGAAAATGAATTCTAGGAAGTTTCTTCCTGACGCAGAGGTGATGATGGGAAGTTGGCAGCTAACACCCAGCATGGTCTCTGTTGCCCCAATTTTCAGACTTTTGCTAATTAAGCTGTGGCCCCAGAACACACTTGGATATGCTTGTAAGTATCTTCAGCAATCAGGAATCAAAAAATCAAAATCAAAACCAAAAACCTTCATTTAGTCATGGAGTAAACAGAAAAATGGGGAAATTGCATTAAATTTGTAGAAATCATTTAGCAAATATACGAAAAGTCTGTCTTAATGAAAAAGAAAAAAAAAATGTGGACATAGCATTCTTTTTTCTTAATATCCAAGTACCTTGTTGTTCCAAATCTGTCCACAATCAAGCAGCTTCATGGGCATTACTGGGAGCTTCTTAGAAACACAAAATAGTAGGCCCCACCTTACACATTCTGAGTGAGGTCTGCAGATAATTTTTATGAGATTTAAGAAGCTTTGCTTTAGGGGACGTTTACTTTAGCTAAAGTTTTTTTTTTTTTTTTTTCCCCTAATGAGAACATTTAAGAGCATTTCTGTTTAAAGTCCCCTGGTGAAATGTGCCCAGCTATATTTAAATTAGCACACATTAAATTTGGGAATTTTTTAAAGATGTTAAAAATTGAAAGAAATAATTATTTGGCAGTGGCATGGCCAACTACTTTGAAAGTTAAATGGGGAAATGATTTTTAGAAAATTGAGAAAGTACCAAGGTGAAAGTGTAAATCAAAATTGTGCCCGTCTATGTTGGAGAGTTTGGACTTAAATTTGCTTGTGTAGTTTGGTTTCAGGATTTTGTTCATTTCTGCAGTGTTCCATGAGGATGTCATGTCCTAGGTAATCACTGCCCTTTCAGTCTTGGCCCCAGATCACACAAAACTCATAGCTACAGACAAGCTCAACTGCTTACTGCAGAACCAGCCAGATGACCCCAGCCTGGATCAACCAAATCATTATTGCCTGACCATTAGTGAATACGAAAATAAATACTTTTTTAAAAACCATCATTGTGCCAAACCTGACTAATGCAATGTTTGCATCAAACATATAGATTAATTTATTTTATTAAAACTGATGGCATAAATCGGAATGCTTAGGAATTCATTCATACAGAGATAGAAAATATTAGAAAATATTAAAACTAATACTTGAATAAAAACATTAACATTTACTTCATTTATGGAAAATTTCAGTTTATCCATATATAGCAATACTTAATAGAGTTATCATGAGAAATCACACATAATAAAAGTCTTACTGAAAGTGATTAAGTCTAAATTTTATAAATATATATGTACATATAAGTGTATTTGTATATAATATACTTATGTGTATAAATACTTATTTGATACATTTATTGAATGTGTATGTGTTCATGTTGAAATAAAGTTATATGATTATATGTGTACATATGGATGTGTGCATATATACATGTGTGCATATATATCACATGCTTACGTACAAAATTATCATGTGAGTCTGTCTTAGTCATCTAGTGCCGCTGTAACAGAAATACCACAAGTGGAGGCTTTAACAAAGATAAGTTTATTCTCTCACAGCCTAGTAGGCTGTAAGTCCAAATTCAAGGCATCACCTCCAGGGAAAGGCTTTCTCTTTCTGTTGGCTCTGGAGAAATGTCCTTGTGATTTATCAGTCTTCCCTTGGTCTGGGAGCATCTCAGTACAGGAACCTCAGGTCCAAAGGACCCGCTGTGCTCCTGGCACTGCTTTCTTGGTGGTATGAGGTCCCCATGTCTCTCTGCTCACTTCTCTCTTTTGTATCTCAAAAGAGATTGGCTTAAGACACTATCGAATCTTGTAGACCTCATCAATATAACTGCTGCTAATCCATCCTATTACATCATAGTGATAGAGTTTACAACATATAAGGAAATCACATCAGATTACAAAATGGTACACAATCATACAATACTGGGAATCATGACCCAGTCAAGTAGACAGATATTTTGGGGGGACACAATTCAATCCATGACAGGATCAAATGTATTAAAACTACTCTAGTTACTCCTCATAAAATAATTGGTATCCAGAACTAGATATAGACCTTCTCTGGTTAGATAAATTTTCTTCGCAATCCATGATTCTGAATAAACTCTCACTTGAAAATATCTTTCTAACGTGGTGGAGGTCTAAAGGGTATAAATAGAGATAATTTTCCTTAGTGTTACAAATTAAATCATTGCAGTCTGTAAACATCCTCATTATCTTTGACTTTCTACAATTATTTATGACTTCTGTTGTTGTTAGGTGCCATCAAGTTGGTTCTGACTTGTAACGACCCTATGTACAATAGAACGAAACACTGCCCAGTCCTGCACCATCCTCGCAATTGTTAGACTTGAGCCCATTGTGGCAGCCACTGTGTTAATCCATCTTATTGAGGGTCTTTTTCACTGACTCTCTACTTTACCAAGCATAATGTCTGTTTTAGTCATCTAGTGCTGCTATAATGGAAATACCACAAGTGAATGGTTTCAATAAACAGTAGTTTATTGTCTCACAGTCTAATAGGCTAGAAGTCCAAATTTAGGGTGCCACCTCCAGGGAAAGGCTTTCTCTCTCTATTGACTCTGGGGGAAGGTACTTGTCATTAATCTTTCCTGGTCTAGGAGCTTCTTAGCAGAGGGACCTCAGGTCCAAAGGACGCACTATTCTCCTGGCTCTTGTTTCTTGGTGGTATGAGGTCCCCTGTCTCTCTGCTGGTTTCTCTCTTTTATATCTCAAAAGAGATCGGCTTTAGACAAAATCTAGTCTTGTAGGTTGAGTTCTGCCTCGTTAACATAACTACTGCTAAAGCCCACCTCATTAACATCATAGAGGCAAGATTTACCACCCATAGGAAAATCACAGCAGATGACAAAATGGTGGGCGATCACACAATACTAGGAATCATGGCCTAGCCAAGTTGACACATATTTTGGGGGGACAAAATTCAATCCATGACAAGGTCCTTCTCCAGGGACTGGTCTGTTCTGACAATATGTCCAAAGTACCTGAGATGAAGTTTTGCCATCCTTGCTTCTAAGGAACTTTCTGGTTATACTTCTTCCAAGACAGTTTTATTCGTTCTTCTGGCAATCTGTAGTATATTCAATATTCTTCAACAAGCACATAATTCAGAGGCATCCATTCTTCTTCAGTCTTCCTTATTCATTGTCCAGCTTTCACATGCATATGAGACAATTGAAAATACCATGGCTTAGGTCAGGCTCACCTTAGTCCTCAAAGTGACATCTTTGCTTTTCAACACTTAAATAGGTCTTTTGCAGCAGATTTGCCCATTTGCAACAAGTTGTTGATTTCTTGACTGCTGCTCCCAGGGGAGCTGATTGTGGATCCAAGTAAGATGAAATCCTTAACAAGTTCAATCTTTTCTCCATTTATTATGATGTTGCTTATTGGTCCAGCTGTGAGGACTTTTGTTTTCTTTGTGTTGAGGTGTAATCCATACTGAAGACTGTGGTCTTTGGTCTTCATCAGTAAGCAGCCACAATGCACCCCTGAATATCTTAGAATAAAGATGTGTATGCTATTGCTAGTCAGATGTCATTTTCAACTGAAAGTCATCAATATTTGTTCCACAACTAAACTGATGCCTCACTATGGCCTGGAAGTTCCACGTCCTTTTTGTCCACCATAAAAACTTTCATTAATCCATTTATGCATGGCATTAGAAAAGTAATCAAGGAGATTAAAAAGTAAGCATCGCTCTTTTAGTCTGGAGTTTCCATGAGCCCCAAGTGTATTAGTGTCCTTTAACTGTAACGATACCACAAACTTTGTGGCTTCAAGTAACAAAAATTTATTTTCTTACAGTACTGGAGGCCAGAAGTCAGAAGTTAGTTTCACTGGGTGAAACCAAGGTGTTTTCTTACCCCTGCCTCTTCTGGATGTTTTCAATAAGAATCCTATCTTTGTCTCTTCCTGTCCTGTTGGCTGCTGGCATTGGCATTCCTTAGCTTGTGGCGACATTACTACAATCTCCGCCTGTGTGATCACATGACCTTTTCCTCTTCTGTCTGTTTCAAATCTCACTCATATTCTGTCTTGAAAGTTCTTAATTTAATCACATCTGTAAAGACCCTTTTCCATATAAGTTAAGATTTACAAGGTCCAGGGATTAGGACTTGATATTTTTGAACCCCATTATTCAGCCCAATACACCATTATTGTACTAACTTTTCTGTATGTACACCACATTCTCTCTCTCTCTCTTCCTCTGAGTCTCTGTTTCTCTCTCTCCCCCTTAATGTTCCCACAAGTGTATTCAGTGCT